CATTAAGATAGAAATTAGAAACAATATTACAGGTAAACATTGAATTTAAACACTTATATAAAAAAAGTAGGTCATTAATTTGTCTTTTAATCTTTGGAGAAATAATAGGAGTTTGGCAAGGCCAACAGGTTTCTGGACCGAGAAAACGTAAAAACTTACCATGGATTCTTTCAATTCTAGATGATTGTGTGTCAGATATGGAATTATAGATAACTTAACAAAAATCAAATAAAGGTTGGATAAGGGATTTATAAATTTTTTTTGGTTGGAGGAAATTTATGACAATTGCGCCACATGAGCCCAAGTGACCTGTTGGCCTTGCCAACGACATGGTCAACATGAAAAGCAAACGTTAGTTTTTTGTCAATAAAAATGCCTAAGTCTCTATGCCATTCAACATTTTCATTAGAAATTATGTATTTAAAATTAATTGGTTTAGTTTTAAGTGTACAAGAGAGCACTTTGCATTTCTCAGACTTCAGCGACATTTTCCAATTGGTAACCCAATGTCCGAGTTTCTCAAGGTCGACCTGGAGTGCATGCGAGTCCTCAATGCTGGAAATTTTTACAAGCAAAATGCAAACAAACAAAACAAGCTAAAGTGATACAAATGCTGGCCTATTACTGCATGTCTCCCAGGCTAGTTTCACTACATTTATCATTATGTTTCTGAACACTCATATTGACTAAAATAAATTGATAATTGATAGAATGACTGACTTACAGATTGACTGACTGATTGATTGATTGACATTCAAAAGTAAAAGATATTTTCTGGTGGGGTCCATAATCAATTAGAAAATAAACATTCAGTGACTTTTTATCCTCTTTATAGCTGGGGGAGGGGGCAGGTGTTGAAAAGATGGGCCATCTCTCTTTGACGTCTGGCCCACGACCCTCAACTGGCACAACCCTTGCACCATCCCTGTTCTGTACATTTTATTCCAAATGGTTAATATATTAATGAATAAATTTAAACAATTGTGTAAACATTAATTGTTGGTTAACAAAGAATTACATTAAAAAGTCTCAAATTTTAGGTTTACAGACAGAATTGCAAAGAATACAATTACTAAAATAAATAAAATATTCTCTCACAGATCTTCAAAACAATAAAGTAGTCTTGTAAATTTTAAAAGCAAACAAGAAATAGCAACATGTGTAAAAGCCAACCATCGATAAAGTAAAGGAGCCAGATAAAAGTTAAGTAATTGATGGCATGTCAAACATAAAATTTGCTTGATAAATAAACTTTTTATTTGTTATCAGAGTAATTGAATGAGTAATGTTAAAAGTACATCGGTATTGGCACCTGTTTACCAGAATCCATCAAAAAATGGTAATGCAAAAAGTTTTTCCACCTTTGTCAAGGCCACTTCAATTTTGTCAACATGTTTTTTATTTTAGGATAAAATTAATTCTAATTTTAGAACGTTTTTACATTTTTTTGTTTTTTGTTGTGTGTGTCAATGTGCTTGCTTTACATATTAGTAGAAAAGCTCAGGTAAAGTGCAAGTTTAGAAGCATCCTTTCGTTTATTGCTAACCTTGCTGTCATGTTTTATCCAATAATATTGGGAATTGCAGTTGTTGAGAGAGTGGTAGCATTTTCTGTTGCTTTGTAAGAGGTGTAAATTAGACAGCATTTAGCAATGAATTACTCCTACTTAGCAGAAGTAAAAGCTGTTCATTATTTGAAGGTCATTTCCCTAGCAGGTCTGTAGTGTATACAAGTGCTATTCAAGTTTCATTATTATTATTATTATTATTATTATTATTATTATTATTATTATTATTATTATTATTATTATTATTATTATTATTATTATTGTTATATCATTATCATTATTATCTACAGCATTGTTATTATTACTATTAATACCATTATTATTATTATGATTATTGTTATAATTTTTAATATTAATATTGATGTATTGTTATTATTATTATTATTATTTTAAATTATCAAAGAATTTCATCTGGTCTTTTTGATGTGGTATAGAAATAGGTACAGAAAAGCAAGTATTTTTTTGCTTATTTTGGTCTAATTTAAAGAAATTTACATCTATATTATTATTTTGTTATTATTTTTGGCTTTTCCTGCTATTGCAGATTAGGCATTGATTTCATTCATGTGTTCTGTTTACAAATATTAAATCTAGATGTAATATATTGTGTTATTTTATGTATTGTTAATTTTCATGTTAAGCAACTGAATTCACAGAATTTTACACAGGTACACAATACTGTAGCATACATGCACATATAGGCCTACATGCCACACATTGGAGCTGGTCAGTTATACATTTAATCTTGCTCCTGCCCCAATCTTTGATCAGTTGCATTATATTTTGCAAACATGGAATAGTTGGCGTGTTTGCGTGTTTTCTATCTACGTTCCGCATCAGAATGCAAACATGATCAAAATATTTCAAGAGGGTCAATGATTATTATAATCTTCCACTCAAATATCATTCATGAAAATTGTTTAACAAGATAACGAAAACTAACGATTTATGTCTGTGTTTATATAAAAAATTATGCCAAATGCAGGTGACTGCAAAGCTTCATATTTTGCTATGGCATTTGTTGTTGAAGCAAGTTAATTGTTCAAGTGATAATGTAAGGCCATATCAGCCTATAACCTTAAGATCAATGCTAGTTCAAGACCCTTTTCATTATTGTTAGGTTGGTAGAATGAAATCAGAAAAACTGGAGGACCTGCAGTGTATCTGAATTTCAGATAGAAGCACTAAATAACAGTTTTTAATTTAATTTTATTTGCACAGCATGATGTTGTCGCCCTTGAAGTGAGGTGTCTTGGTGGTTATGGTGCCCGTTGGACAGCAGATGGTGCAAAATTCCGGGGGTTCCTGGAGCCACAGATGAAAGATGGTCATTCAGTTGGTTGGAGGCATTGATTGATGTGATGTCAATCAATTGGTAGTAAGTATCTGGGACTATAATTTGCAAAATGTTCTGGGACTCTTTATTGCCACAGACAGAAGAGTCATTCAGTAAGGTATGGTTGTGATATCAGTTAGTTGGTAGTATACTTATTGGCAGATGACATTTTGAAAGTCATGGTGCCACAGTTGAAAGACTTCCACCTCGTTGATTGATTGTGTGTTGTCAGTCAATTAGTAAGGTACTTTCTGAAGGGCAGATGGCATAATATTCTGTAAATCCTGATGCCAAAGCCGAAATACTTCTATTAATTTGGTTGGCAGTGTGATGACAGACAATTAGTAAGGTACTGTACTTCCTGAAGGGCAGGTAGCATAACATTCCGTAAAATCCTGGTGTCACAGACAGAAAAAGTCATTTAATGATTAGGAGTCATTGACATGATTTTTATTTGCCGGTAATAAAAACAAACAATAATGAAACATTCTCAAGATTATTGGAACGCTAGATGGAAGACTGTCCTTCCAACAATTTCTGTTGGTTTGCTGGTGCCTGCTGGACATAGTGCAGCAATACCTGGAGTCTCAGATAAGAGAGCCATTCCAAAGTTGAAGGCACAGAATTAATATAAATTGAGTAATGGCAGCTGTGGCAGAAAAGGTGGTCAATGTGTGGGTTGAAAGTAAAACAGATGTGATGTCACAAATGCTAATGTATGACTCAGAATTTCATTGGGTTAGATAGGAAAGGAAGAAAACAACAGTAGTACACAGAAAAAGACAGATATGATAAAGTTGCCAGGGATGAACCATAATATTTGCCACCAAATAATAATGGGTTCGACATTCATGAGGCAAAACACATAGAAATGGCTCATTCTCTATGGTGATTTTGTAGTTTGCGCTATGTAGAGTATACTAAAATTTGGTTACATCAGCGCAGTCATCTATTTTACTATGTAAAGAAGACTTGCATTCTCTTTGCATATTAAAGCAATAAAGAATAATATATTTAATTCTTGCGGTACACCACATAGATAGTTCTGATCGAGTTGCTTCAATCGTCTTCAGGAGAATAATATTTGCAGAGAATCCAAACAGGGAAATACTTACAATGTGTGGATAGTGAGACTTGCTGCTGATTGGTGGAAAACTAAACAATAAGTGAATACTTAACGTTTTAATGGATTTTCATATTATGATGATTTTGGTGTACTTGTACTTAAATTATTCTTGAAAATTTGTTTTGAAAACAGAGATCAGCTTAATAATTATGTTATCTTTTTATAAATTTATGGGGTTTTTTTGTGGTCTGTTTCTGTGTCTACTGCCCATTCGGGGGTCAGTAGACACTTTTCTGTCGTCTTACAATTTACCTTGTAAGAGTAAATCTGGTGGAGGAATGATGGGATTGATCGTAAGCTAAAGATGAAAATAAAAAGTAAGTTTACGAAATATGATGCCATGCTATATAAGACCCGTCATAGAAAGAACTAAAAAGTCAACAATCTGTTACTTGTACAGTTATTCAAGTGAATTCCCAACACAGAAAGCGTGGCTGAATTAAAAGTAGCCAAAAAAAATTTAAAAAAAACTATGCCAAGCAGTAGATATACACTCCTGCTGGGAGCCTATTGTTTAATGCTGTGTTCAGGCTGTAAGGTGATTAAAATTTGTATTTGGTAGGTTAAGTGACAACACACTTAAAATGTGAATTTTAAATAAGTGTAAATAAAGAATTTTGTTTAATTTAGTAAAAATAATATGCAATAAAAATCAATAAAATTATTAAACAACAAAGACACGAACCTGTGTAACATTATTACTTATTTAGGCCTTTATTTATTTAAAAAATGAATAAGTAAAGGCCTAAATAGGAATATTGTTTAATGTAGTAAAATTACTGTATGCAATAAAAATCAATAAAATAATTAAACAACACATGTTCCTGTGTAATATTGTTACCAGTATATTGTTATTTCAAAAATGAATAAATAAAGGCCTGAATAAGAATGTTGTTGAATGTAGTAAAATTAATATAGGCCTATGCAATAAAAATCAATAAAATAAGTAATCAAACAACACATGATCCTGTGTAATATTTTTACCTTGATATTTGTTATTAATATTCAAGTTATCAATTTTATACCATCAAGGGTCTTTCTTCATTCTTCATTACAAACACAACATTATAATTTTGGTAACTTCAAAACAGTTTGTCTGAAGTCATTATTCCTACATTTCAAGTATATCAAACTTTTCCTTAGGTAATAACTGGTTAATTAGAGTAAAAGTACTGTATGACTTGTATTCTGTCTGTCTCTTATACACATCTAGATGTGTATAAGAGACAGGTACTGTACTTCCTGAAGGGCAGGTAGCATAACATTCCGTAAAATCCTGGTGTCACAGACAGAAAAAGTCATTTAATGATTAGGAGTCATTGACATGATTTTTACTCTGTAGTGTCTGCTCTGTCTCTTATACACATCTAGATGTGTATAAGAGACATGTATAGGGTATATCTTTCAGTTAAAAAAGAAAAACAAACGAGAAACTATTTTTCTCGTACAGCTCCTATAACATATTCTTGGCAAAATAACCACGAATTTCTTTATAGAAAATATGTTAGTAGTGAAAAAGTCTGTATAAATCTGTAAAATACCTGTGATTATTAGATTTATATTTATTTATTTATATTTTGATCCGTTTTAAGTAGCCCTACACAGATTAATGTTTTAATTTACTTGTTGCCTTTATTCAATTTAGGTCTTGGTCTTATTTCAACTTTTACGTCACCAATCGGAAAACGTAACGTTCGTCTAATAATAATTGATTTAATAGGCCTATCACTAAAGTCTTACATAGCAACGCAAAGTTAGACTGAATGCAAAGGTACTGATAATGATGAGTACTGTGCAAACACTGCTGGTTTAAGGGGCCCGGAAAGGATAGGAAAAGCTTCAGTGAATTTATTTCAAACAACCGTACCTCAATACCAAATGTGTGATTTTACTTCAATAGCTGATCCGATTGACTTCCCAGGGGAAGAGTGCCTCTGGACCCATTGACACCACTAATGTATTGATAAATAAATGGAAAATAAAAAATAAATAAAAGAATGGCCTCGGCGAATGGGTAGATCGATATAGATGGATGGATGGGTACATAAATAAATAGATGTACAGTGGATAAAATCTCAATTTTGAATGTCTGTTATTTGCTGATTATTATACCTGATTTTTTGAGCCAGTATTTCTTGATGTTTTACAGATTTGATATTATTCTTATCGTCAGGTGACCTGTTTCAACTGTTGTTATAAATGTTCTTACATGGGTACTAGTTACCCATTATTGTGTCGATGGATTCCATATGAATCACAAGACAGCAGGATTTACTAGTATTGAACTCCACCACCACAACTGCACCTCCGAACTCCTCTATCACCAGTTGAGGCGTTTCATAACAATTCTGTTATGTGGTTTATTATTGATTGTGTATTGCGTCGTACCATGTGAAAATCTTGTCTCATAACCGAAAATCAGAGGAATTATAGACTATTACTTGACTAATTGGAAGGTCTCGGGTTCGAATCTCGATAGGACAGTGCATTTTTCTAAAGAAAATGTTCTGTAACACATCATGAAACGCAAAACTAGTGAGTGAGGGACAAAACTATAGAGTGATGGAATTTATTTAAAAAAAACAAAAACAAAAAAAAAACAGTGAAAACGCCGGGGGCAGGTCAGATATTAGCCGATTTAAGATTCCTTTTTAATCTTCATTACAGAAAATATACAAATGTCATACAGTATTTATATTTTGTCTATGTGAATGTAACGATGCATGTTAATAGCATAAGTACAGTAAATAACATTATGCAGATGTAAATATTATGACTAAATTTACAATTTGTAATCATTCATTGATTTCGTAGTTAAATAGCAGAATAGTTGCACAAACAGGTCATATCCAAAAAAACAGCATTATGATTCAGTCTTAACTCAACTTATATACAGTGGCACCCGTAAACTTTCTGGCCCCCGGACTCCCTGACGCGCCGTTACGCCATTGTGAATAGTGGGGAATATGCTCAGCAAACCCCATTTCGCCCCCCTTTTGAACATCTCTGGATCCGCACCTGAAACTTGCATGTCAAACCGGAATTAACGGAATACTAATTTACTATAATCGTTGAATGAATTTATGAATAAATACTCGTCAAGTAGGCCTATTAATCGCTTAGTACCGTTTTACTGCACGCTATATCACACTCGCGTGATGGACAACAAAAAATCAATTAATTCGGCATTATACCACGCGGTTAGTAAATAATCGCCACCAGCATAGGTCTATATTTTCCATCCCCTTTAGTCTATATCGACGAGCCAAGTTTCGGTTCTGTGTTGGACTTGTGGCACAAACTTCTCACGACACGCTCCTGTCGGTGTTCAACACCATATATTTTAGTGTGAACAATTTACAATTTAAATAAATAAAAGTCCACTAATTTTGTGATTTATTCTTAACCCAATCGTTAATTGATATGTATTTAAACACGCGATCGGTTAAATAAAGCTAATTCATCAAATGCTCTCTTTGGAATTCTGGCTTTGTGGCTTGCTCTCGCGTGACAGCACGGTATCACGCGAACAATTCGGTAATAAAACACCCGCTCGTAAAGTTAGAAACGGAAAGCAATTGGAATTATTTTAACTATACGGGACATTCCATGAAGCGGGGTCGGTAAGACTTCCTCGTCGCAGAGCCTTATCCCATAAAAGGTCTGGAGGCCTGCATGACATGGCTAAATTAGTTTCCGGCCACTTGTTACATACTCAAACATTGGTTGATTGTCTTGAATTAATAGTTTAATTACAGAAATTAACATTCGAACTTGTACCCATGTACTGTACATATATTAAGCTCAGATTACGGATGCCCCAATTTTCACAACGTATCATTTAATTTCGTTATAAAATTAGGCTGTGCACTTTTTATTTAATTAGGCCTATGATTTAATCCCACAATTAAGTAGGTCTACCTCCTTTAAGAGGCTTCAATAAGGCTAAAATATTTCTGATTCAAAAAAGGAGCTTGTACCTCTTTTGCTTTTTTGGATGACTCGAAAGATGGTAACTATGAAAAACTGAATGTCTGAGGACATGCCTGCAAGAGGCAGAGCACATAGGTATACGTAGTACGAGGCAAGCAGGGGTTACCCTGGTGTACTGGTACAACTCCTGTTATGGAGTATCTGGTACCGGTGACCTTTATGGGAGAAGAAGTACTGTAGAAGCTGGTACACGCCTCGAGCTCATTGAGACTTCCCAAATCTAAACACATTACATTCACATTATACGATTCAAATCTTCCTTTAATGTATTTTTATAAAACAAATTTCAATTGAATTTCGTTCATACTGAAATGTTCCAATTGTGTCAAATACATCAGTTAATTCTGACATCTTATCCGGACCTTGAATAATATACAATTTATTCATGATTGGCCTACAAAATCATTATAGTGTAGCTGATTTTCAATTTTCTTCATCACGTACTCTTTCACCTTTAAGATTTCCGTGTACAAGGGAAACGAACCAAGATTATATTTAATTTCGATAAGCGCTGTCGACAAACAAGGTTAAAAAATATATAGAAGGAATAGGCCTTTATCTTATTATACCAACATATAAAATCCATACTCTGTAGTGTCTGCTACACCAACAGTCATTGTGAACTTGAAAACGAGGAGTAATGTTTGCGAATAAGTCACGTGCAAGAAATTACTTTCGTCCTTAGATTTTTAGATTATTAAAATATTTAGGTATTTATTGTTGTCGAAAGAAAGGCAATTTTTGAATGTTTTAAAACTATTTGACAATATTCATTATGATTAAAATCTCATATTTTTTCGATCTGTTACTTATTGAAAATTTTTAAATTAGCAATTGAAAATTGTATATTACTTTTCAATTGTTTTTTGGTTGTCAGTATGTTTAAGTTCGTTATAGCAAAGTTCCTTCATCTAAATATCAAACTGTCATGCTATCAAATATGAATAGTGATGAGTAACACATTGTACGTCATCGATGAGACAGGTCCCCGGACTAACCTTCATTAAACTTAGTACTGTCTGACATTATATATCAATGGTATACAGTCGAACGCAAGAGAACTCAGTCTCGCCACCAACTGAGACCTCCATGCTGAGACCACATTCATCCAATCAGAAGCCTGTATTTTCACTGCTGCCTCGAAATAGGGTGGGTGTCAAACAAATTGGCGCTAACTTCCTGGAAAGAATTTATACTTTACCGATGAGGTAAAAGGTGAAACAAAATCTAAACCGCGACTTCAGTTTCAATAAATGCACTCAAATGAACCCATCGTCATCTCTTCCGATCTCGCTCGTAATTAAAATGGATCTTTCCGAAGTGCCAATCAAACTTAACAACTGACCAATCGAAACCAGGACACAAACGCATGCTATAGGTAAATTTACGCTATTGTTTTGTGGGACCTTAGTAACGATATTCAAGGGACGGGGGCTTAGCGAGACGGTCCATTTGTCCCCTTAACT